ATGCGGTTGTGGCCGAATCGACTAGAAAGTCCCGATCTTAATATTTCCCAGCCTGAACTTACCCAGTCAGATTGGAAGCTCCCTTGGAAAGCCTACAATAGTATGTGCGCCACTGGCCGGCTATGCACAGTATGGCAAGGACCTTGCCATGTCCTTGTCATGCTTTGCTGTACTACAAGATATATTTCATGATGCAGAAGCCGAACTCGAAGACTGGGTGATTAGCTATACGTAGTATGGGCAGACATCACCTGAATACCCCTTGCTTCCATGACCATCTCCTGCATACATCCAGACGGGCCTCTACTTGTCTTGGTTAGCCCGAATATATTGATGCCCTGATTTGACACCTCATCCCTCACTTTGGTCTACGTAGCCTAACATTATCAACATCCATCCGCCTGCGCAATATGGAAGCACTCCGCACATACCGGAAGGCCCCCTGAATGCACCACATCCAGTAGCAGAGACAGTACTATCTCGAGTCACTGCAGCTCATGCCAGGATTACTCTGGCCGCTCATATCAGAGAATTTTTGAAATGCCGTAGAAGCCGGAACCGGCTAGGCCGCCTTATGATTGACTCTACTGACCACATACGAAAGAACCTGTAGTGTTTGTTGCCCATCCAGCGTCCATTTGCCATCCACAGCTCGAAGTAAACAGGCCTCGACCTTTTACTCAAAAGTCTTGACGGGAGGCTTTGCCTCTTGAGAGGTTAGTCCCTGTCTTGACACGAAGGAATTGATAGCTTTAGGGCAGTCAAGTCCTCGCACCCCGGAGCAAATTACGGACTTCGCCATTCTACAGCAGACTAGTCCGAATGAGCATTTCGTGGCTGAGACTGAGTAATTTGTATTGATGCATTTCTGTCCGGACTTGATGGACCAGGTCTATTCTGCCGATGCACGATTGAGAGTGAAGAATCTAGAACCACCACTAGACACCCTTGCATTGCACCAACGAGAGACAAAGCCTGATGTGTACCAGGCAGCTACCGAGTGGTGATGGTAAGTGCATGACAGTCCACTAATCAAAGATCTGCTCAACATTCATTCTGCAGACCAGTCACAGTATCAACGCTCAATTTACATACAATAAGCCCATTACATACATAGTCTTTCATCATGCTAATGGCACCAGGCCACGCTCTCATCATGCACTCATCAAACATACACGCATCACAAAATCTACTCCCTAATCTCCCTCGCGGGCCCATTACTAGGCTCCCGCATCAGATCCGCCCTTTTATCCAACATCGCCTCCGCCATGAACGGACTTCTCTCACGGATACTCTTCCCCCACACAATAAATGACAACGGCGCCAGCGTCAGCAACAAACTGATAAACGCCAACAACGTACTCGCCCACTGGAATCCCAACGTGTTATACATGCTGGAAGTAGCCAGCGGCAAAAACGCAGAGACGGTGTTCTCCCCGACCACGAAACAAGCCATCGCGCTCCCGGCATATTTGCAATACGCGTCTACCACGTAATCCGCAATGCCACTGACCACCACCACGCTACCCATGCCCACCATCCAGAGTCCCACGGCCGGAGCAATCCACGGCATGGAGGGGTAAGATGTCCATGCGTACACGAACATTCCCCCCGCAATGCCGAAGACACCCCCTCCGACGGAAAGATAAAGTCTAGCCTCCGGAATAGGCATCCCGGGGATTTCCTTATTGCGTTTCGAAGAGTTGAAGTACAGTCGTGCGGATATCAGCGAGAAGAACCACCCACACACTTCGCCGATGAATACCGCCGCCTGGACATACCCTGCCTCCACGGGCGTCCAGTTATATAGTCCCACGAAGACCTGCTCGACGGATTGCGTGAACAGGTATAATGTGCCGACAGTGAAAGCCGACCACAGCGTGGAGAAAAAGACGACGTATTCGGTGAAGAGCAGCTTGAACGGTCGGCGAATGCTGGTGAGCAGGACCTGGCGGAGCGGTTCGGCTTGGAGTTCGTGATGCGTGTATGCGTTCTCGCCCTTTTCGCGCAGTTTCCGAGCTCGGCGTTGCAGGATCACGGATCCTCTGGTTTCCTTTAGGATGAGAATGTTCACGAGTAGCAATGCGCCGACCCAGATGAGTTGTAGGTAGGAGATCCATCTCCAGGACAGATGAGCGAAGATAGGTGCACCGACTAAAGGCCCCGCACTACTTCCACCGAGGTAGGCGACGATCCAGAGAGCGACGGGTTTCGTGCGCGCCATTTCTGTCTCGAAGAGGTTGCCGATGATGCTTGCGGAGCCGTTGCCGAGGACGGCCACGCAGCCACCGGCGAAAAAGCGGACGATTATAAGAGTGGCGAAATTCTGGGCGACGGCTTGGGGAATTATGAAAATGAAGAAGACGAAGTTGGTGAGGAGAAATGTGATGCGGGTGCCGAAGTCTTCCATGAGGGGCAGAATAAGGAGACAGAAGAAGACGCCTCCCATCGTCCAGGAGGCGACGGGCCAGTATGAGTTTGGGAAAGTGGCATCGCTGACATTGAATTCGTTGTTTATTGCTTCATGGGCGACTGTAATAATAGTGCCATTCATGAGAGCCACGAAGGTGGTGGTCAGAGCAGTAATGGTCATTAGCCATTTCCTAGAAGTGGGCCAGTTGAATGGATTCTGGGGGTCCTTGGGACCATCCCAGTCCACGACCGTTGCGTTAGAGCAATCACTGCAAGGGGCTGTGTTCATGGTTAGAATTCTAGTTCTAGAAGACAAGAGATGGAGTAGGAAACCTACTCGAGGGCTTCTCCTCATCCTCGACTGCCACCATGCTTGCGGGTTCGCGAGGACACACAAAGTATCGGCTGCGTGAGAAACCTTGTCTGTGCGAAGATATTCCCGGGAACCTCGAAGCTTATAGTCTAGGGGCCAATATTAAGACAAGCAGAGGGATTTATATGTAGATAATCATCCACGCGGCAATCGTCTTTGGTGTCAGACCAGGGTGGGACATTCCAAGCAGTTCGTAGTCTCCTTGCAGGAATATCGCAACAACTTATACACAAGACATTCACTTCTGGCGGGAAAATTGCATCCGGTTCACCAAAAAGGGTTAGGCAATGGCTCCATCGGAGAAAACTGAGGAGTGGAACTTTCCTTTCAAAGGATGGATATGAAGGCTGGTGGGGAGGCACGATGCTAATAAAGCTTGGGTGCGATTAAGGGTTTTGGAGGAGAGAAGTGGAGTTTGAAATTGCCGCTGAATTACATATGGGTCCCCGAGTGTTTAGCGCAGCCCTGTCCCTCTCAAGATTTGTAAGTTCTAGAACGATTCATCAAGTTGTAGCTAGTAGATAGATCATTTGTAGATACAAGATGAACCCTGAGTCGAGGTCCATGTGTTGTGAGAACCGGGGCCATCACACTTGCTCACACCCCAGTGAATCGTCAGGACCTTCATATTGGTAGGTTGTTTGCAATTCCAGCACCTCCCCACCGGTAACTTTCGTCTCTTTGTTCCTAACCAGGCACCTCAAGCTCACCAGTATCGTTTAGCGACCCAGATTTTTCGGTGGCCACCGCTGAGCTTTCTCCATCGAGCAGCCTGTTTGGGATTAGTGTGCGGTTCACGTGAAGGGGATTTTCATCACCGCTTACAAAATGGAATTATGCGATGGGTTGGATGCTCGGCTGATGAATCAAATCAATGCCTGAGCAGATCTTTTTGGCTTCCCTGCGTGACTCATTGGATTTGCAAATAGATATACTACCCCGTTCTACAGATTTCACCAGCCTCCGATTGGCTGGCTGGCTATGTTACACCGATGGGCCCTGTCATGTTCAACGTGTTCCGCAGGAGCTTGGGTACACTACGGAGTAGATCATAGACACTATGATATGTCTTCGGGGATTATAATACCTGTACTATCACATGGAGCCGCGACAGCCACGCCATGTGCATCATGAAGGGCACAAAAGCCCTCAAAAGGCGATTTTCGGAGGGCTCTCTATGTGTGAATCAATTTATCCTCCGTTTCGAATCGTTATTGGTAGCGTCCACCAGCTAGCTAGCTAGTAAGTTTACTGACTTTTCAGTCAGGTTCTGCTAGCCACCTGATGTATATTTTTTCTACCTCAGTTTACAGGCGGTAAGTTAATGCACAGTCAAGATCGCAATCCCGTCCTTGCAACAAAGCCAGGGGTTAGAGCGAATTAGGGAATATAGTGCGACAGCCTTATACTGTACTCATTCATAGCGCTTGTTGTAGAGATAGCTAAGAGGGTCCTTTAGTGGACTGTACTAAGGACATTGTAGAAGGGTTCATTCATGTCAGGGTTCTTAGACGCCACGCTGCATTGGAAAATCTGTCTAGTCCTCGGCATATGGTGCCTCAGGTACGAATTCCTATCCTCAGGCACTAAGCTTTGCCACTGAATCCGACTAAACCCAAAGCGGAAGGTTTTGACTGGTCCGATGGTTGATGTTAGCTGGTACGAGGAACAGCATACAGGTTTGTGTTGGCAAAACTGTAAGCATGAGCGAATGCCGGTGTAGGAGACGCATCACCGGTGTGTCAGTTGTAATTCTAGCTTAGATCTCACATAATACCACTCTACTCTTGTGTCTATGATCCCGAAAGAGCTAACTCGTAACACCAGCATGACATACTCCGGAATCCTCTAGTTGTCAAATAGAAATAATGAGAGTCTGGATGAAAGAGGAGTCGAGTCGTAAGTAGAGGAAAGAATCAGGGCATGATTCCAGATGAAAGTTTCTGTCTCTCTGAATCGGTCACAATTTTCACATAATACTTTGCATAAACTTTGCCAATCAGGCTAATTTGTCCAATAGTGCCCCCAGATCCCTGCAAGTGGTCGGATTACATCACTGCGGGCCGATTTCCTAGTCGGGCGCATCCGCCACGCGACCGACATTCCTCCCTATTGAACCAAAACAGACTTCCAATTTCATCATCTCATCTTCATTTTCATCCCATTGATCCATTGACTAGATTCAAGGAAAGGAACCAATTGACTCCCCTTCAATATGCTCGCGTGGTGAGTTGAACAGCACCCACCCCAATCACGACCACTACCGTCTCCATCCCCCGCATTAACGATATCAATTCCCCAGGTACCAGAGATGTCTTATCCAGCGTCCTCTCTTGACGCAGAGCCTCACCACAGCGGTAAGCTTCAATCTGTCCTCATCACACTCTTTCAACAAAGCTGAGAAAGAAATCCACCAGACCCTCTTCGCAGTAGGTGACGGGCTCGCCCAGCAAGCCGTCGAGAAGAAGGGCCTGCCCAATCATGATGTAACCCGAACTGGACGGATGGCTTTGTATGGTGGTGGTAAGTCCAGCCCAGCCCCCGTTCCCTCATCCCCCCTTCATTCCCTCTAAACAAAAGCAAAAATATAGCTGTTTTCGGCCCGGTCGCCACAAAATGGTTCCAATTCCTCCAGAACCGCATCCAGCTTTCAACACCAACCAAGACTCTTGCTGCGCGCGTTAGTGCTGACCAGCTCGTCTGCGCTCCTACCATGATTGGTGTCTTTCTCACCAGTATGTCTGTCATGGAGGGCGTTGATCCTCAGGACAAGCTCAATAGGACGTACTGGGATGCCCTGCGCGCCAATTGGATGCTTTGGCCGGCGGTTCAGACCCTTAACCTTGCTTTGGTGCCGTTGCAGTACCGTGTGTTGACGGTTAATGTGGTTAATATTGGTATGTATCTTTGAATACTTTATTTTTATAGATTTGCTTTGCTTGCTGGGTAGAACTGATGCTTGTATAGGATGGAATTGCTTCCTGAGCTTGGTTAATAGCGTCCCCCATGGGGATGAGGTTGCGCCGGGAGTTTGATGGGTTTCGCTCTCTGGCTTTCCTGTATCTATTATGTTTGGGCTGGCTGTTTACTACGTACGGTATTGATTGTGTCGGATAGATGGCGAAATTTTTATGACTTAGAAGAATAGATTTCGATTTCTGGTGTCCCCTTGTCCGAAAGACTATTGGCAGATATCCCTCTCTGAAACCACCGGGCCACTACGTATTCGTCTGATAATTCCAACATGTTTTCAGCAACAGCACTATGTAAGCGGGTTATCAGGGAATAGTGGCATTAGGGAGCGCTTCGTTCAAAATAGAAAGTCCTCATCCGCAGATCCAGCCAGCCAAATGCGTAAGTCTCTGAACGCGTCAAGGTCATTCTTCTCCAACGCAACTTTGACAGAAGGGTCATGCCACTGGTGTGTTCTTTTCGCTTCGGTGTCTCTCAACGGCTCCCCGATGAACCGACAACTATCAAAATCAATCAGAACAAGCGTACCCTTTTCATCAATCATAATATTCGCCGGGTTGATGTCATTATGGACAAGTCCGAACGAATGAATATGTTTGATGGCAGACAAAATCCCTTCTAGACCTTCCTTCATCTTCTCTCCCACCAGCTCACGAGCACTCGAAAGGAAAGCGACCTTGTTGAGTCGCTGGGGATTGACCGCTTCAAGTAGCGTGGATGTATATCGCTCGAAGCAAAGCCCAGAAACTCGGCCGTTAGTCTCCATAAAACCATAATAGGTCGCAATATTCGGATGGGGATGCTTGCGAAGAATTTCGCATGTTTCGACTTCGCGGGTGATTTGCTTTTCGAGATCTCCATTGACATACGCCAGTAGACTTGGGGTTTTCACGTAGACTGCTGACCAGGTGGCTTTCACCTTTGGGCCCCTATCCGCTGTTGGGATCTGGTTGACCTCATCAAGATCGTGAAGTGTTTTCGGCGATTCAAATCTATTCGTCCATTTTCCAGAATATAATATGCCTTCTTGCCGGACGAAACACTCGACATAGGCAAATTTCATCTTCCCTCCGATCTTTCTAAAGGCCTCGTTCTTTTGTACAATTTCCATAATATCGCGGTGTATCAGTTATGAGGGACCTGGGGAACTGAGTGGGATATGAACAACGCGAGATGGCAAAAGTAGGTTGTGAGCTGGTCTTATAAATCTGATCATAAGGTGGGACGCGTGACTTCGTGCGAGTGCGGTTGCTTCCGGCAGTGTTCTCCTAGTTGATCTGCTATTACAACAAATCACAGATGTATCGATCATTTTAGACCACCATTCAACTGTGTACAGTTGGGAGTTCCCTATAAACGAGCTGACTAAGGTTTCACGATTTGCACCGGACAAGTCATAGTAGTTAGTACATATCTTCAAAGACTAACCATCCAAATCCACAGATTAAGATAATTGATACTTGACATTACCTGAAACCTGATGGTCTCCTAGTAGCTGGTAACCTCCATGCAATCCTATATGTGCAGTCATGAGAGAATAATTATTCAGTTATTCTTTATACCAGCTGGAGGTGTTGCGTATACCCAGATTTACTGCAGTGGTCCACATCTCAGCTAATACTGTATCCACACAGTACTACTAGTCAGAACGCGTTGGAGATAGTACTTACAAGTTCTAAAATGCCCCATCTCTGGTTTCTGACAGTGCTCGCATGCCGAAGGCAAACTATGTTCGGTTCCGCAACAATCAACCTACAATATCAATCTCGCCCCGACCCCTGACACTTCTACTTGGGAGCTAATATCTAGGTCTCCAGAGTGGTTACTCAGGACCAGCAAGTAAGGAAACAATTTATGATGTATCATTACGGTTTCAAATGCCACCGGTTTGTTTTGAGTAATTAAGGACTGATTTTGTTTAATTTTCAAATATCAGCGTAAAAGAACCACTTTGTAATGGTCTATTCCCCAGCATCATTCGCCTGCAAATTCCCCTTTCTCTTCTTCTCGTGGGCAAAAAACCATACCGAATTTCGTCTCTATTTCTTAGGCCGGTATGCAATCGAATCTTCGCAGTCAGTTCTCATACAATCCCAGGTTTTTCTTGGTGTACCCTCACACACCGAAGACCAGTGGCAGGAATTGGTGATCACAACTGGCACTAGAATACTCATCTGCGTACGATGTCAATCTCAACTTATTTTTTTTGCTGGGTGGTCCTTAGCTTACCTTGAGAGATTTGTAATATCAGATATCGAGAAGCCTTCTGGGACTAGTATACGAAAATGTGAAGTAGTTGGAGATTATGAATCTTCGTGGCTTTGGGCTCGACTTCTAGAGCTGTAAAGTGATTGACGACCAGATAAATGCGACACTATCTGCGCTATTTATAACAGTGATCTCAAACGTGTAAACGGCCCAAGTACAGCTCGTGAGGAGGCTATAAGCAATAGTGATAAGGATATATCCATATCCTCGATTATTATATGGCTATTTCCGACCCAGACATCCCTGATGCTATGCAGTAGAGTGACAGGCATACGGAAATTTCCTTTGTTTGAGGGCTATTCTGAGCCTAGATGGCTTTAATATAGACAAGTCATGCATATGAGAAATTCATGCAATCTACTTCTGATCAGGGTCCCTCCCTCGAGGAAAGAGCTGCGGAAAAGTATCCCGCCGCATACTGGTGTAGCCTTCGAGCAACCGAGGCTCAAGCGCTAATAGAACGAGTGTGTGCACCACTCACACTTCGCTTCTAAGAGGCGTGAAACGCTATAATATGTCGGTGGACCGTCGGTGGACACTTCGAGTCTAAAGAGCCTCATGTCTCTGTTCCAGATTTATATAATTTCATCCAATGATAGGCAATTCTCGATATTTACAGTCCTTGCAGCCGCAATGTTATCTCTCTACTCCCTTGTAATAGTTCCGTAACCCTATCATTGAAGAGCCAAAGTGCTACAACAGGGCGTGTTACTCCTAATATATTAGATCTATCATATAGCCAAAGATACTAGAAATATAGATATCAAACATGGAAGAGGTCAAAGGATGATCATGTTCGTAATTAAATAAGATGTCTGGGGTCTCCGGATACAAGGTGAGAGAGACGAAGCTGTGGGAAGAGGTGATGATGCAAATCAGAGTGCAGCATCGTGTAGCTCCTTCACTAGCGTGTCAATAACTGCATTGACCAGCTCTGGCTCCACGACGCCTGTCTGCCATGTGATCCCCAAAACCAGACAGCCATCACCACCGGTGATTGACGAGACCTCCAGAGCTGCACCCAAAGCACTGGGTGTCTGGGAGAACATCGCCCGTGTGGTCTGCGGCCGCGACGGATCTTCTTCCTGTTTGGACTGCAAGACACCCACATTGGAAACTTCAAAGCTTTCATCCCGGTCTTTGCCAATTTTTCCCCGGAAGAGGTCCTGAAAGTTATCTATATGTTTGAGCAAGCATGTGCCAGCATTTTTTCCTTCGCGACCCAGTGCCTGTTCGATGGTCGCTCGAGACTTCCTGGCTTGATCCCATGGGAAGGTGTCGGGATTTCGATTCACCTCGTTCCGATAGAAGCTTTCCGCAAAGTCCATGACCCAAACGCCCATAGACTGATCTGTAATTTCTCCTCCCTTCAGCCACCTTCGACATGAGATGGCGCCGTTCATTTGAACTTTGGTATACTTCACTGGCAAGTGGGTGAGAAGAGCGCGGGCAACTGCTGCCTGCAAAGCAGCGGTGACAGTTGCATTGTTTTGACGACAGTTCTTTCTCAAAGCTGCAGACACAGCTGCAGGGATGATGATTTGGCGTAACTCGGTCTTGACTGGAGCAGATATTTTGGCGCCTGTCCAGAGGCGTGGATCGCGATGAGACCATACTTTCGCTCTGAAAAGAGCATTAAGAAGAAAAGGTATGGTCGTAGGACACGGATGGAGCGCCTCCAGATTTGGCAGCAGAGATGATGTGGGCGACTGAATGACTTGTTTAACCTCGCCTGGGGTCATGAAAGTAGCAGCAGTGTGTAATGCATCCAAGAACGTCTGATGAAATGCCTTCCCTGAAGTCCCGTCCCCAATCGCATGGTGGAACACATAGACTGCGGTAAAGCGCAGGTCATTCGCCTCATCTGTCAGGATGAATAGTCTCCAGTACGGCAAAGGGGCAGCAAACCCTGTACTATGTTGAACTCGCAGCAATTCGCATAATTCTACATCCGGTTCATTGTTGTCGGGAAAGTCGCGGGTGCGCCTTTGAAATGCCACCGACTGGCTCAGATCAATCTCCGGGAGGCGCACGAACCAGGTATCTTCGGTATCTTCACTGATGGGGATGGCGGACAAGATAGGATGCTGGCCGATCAATGTCTCACAAGCCTTATATACATAGTCTTTTAGCGGCAGAGTGAAGGTATCCGGCAAGATGTAGGTTGCCGACACCGCGACGTTAAAATATAGTCCGAGTGAATGGCGCGTGGTGGAGTATTTCTCCAGGGGCCCTGACAGCTGTCAATTCAAGTCCCCGTTGGCCTCGGCTTCTCAAATCAGGCACTTTCTCACTCACCAACTGGACGTAGTCTTTCAAAATCATTCATTGTTGCAAGGATGTCGCATGCTAAGACTCTGGGCGCGATGAAACACGGAGGAGAAAGAAGAAGTACAATGGAAGGCCACGAAGAACAATAACTTGCCCTTTCAAGACCAATCCGCCGGGGAAAATCAACGGGTCGCGCCGCCCCTGTATATTTTCCGCGTTAAATCTTCCTCTTTCGGACAACCTTGCGACGGCCTACAAGGCAGCCATCAATACCATCCGGACTGATAGTAGTACGGTAGATTCCTCCATTCAATTTCAAGTTGAAGGTGGGCATGGTGCTCGACAGAAGGGGTACTGCTTAAGTATTATTATGTTTCCATCTTTCTCTAGTATTGTTAGCTAGGAGATTTGTCGGACAAGTACTACTACTTCGTTTCTTAACATTTACTTAGCCCACTCGGGGTCTGGAGTCTATGTGAGTGTCAGTGATGTATGCAGGCCAGGGTTCCATGCTACACTCGGGTATGTATTTAGTTTGTTGCTCATTACTTATTCTTGAATGATGATCAGAGCAGAGGCGATCCGGTTTTGGAAGCCGTTAGTCATGTGAGGAGCAGATCACATGCTCACTATCATCACGTGCCGTGACATCGGGCGCCCAAGAGAGGCGAAACACCGGAAACTCACGGAAGCCCGACTAACTAACTACTTAGTAGTCACCGACTGTTCTGTCCGTCTGTCTGTCGCTCTGTCGCCTCCGGATATGTATCCATGTAACTAGTCCCGACGCGCCTCATTCTTTCCCTTATCTTTATTTCTATTCTCATCTGATTTCCCCTTCGTCTGTCTCGCCCTTCAGAGCTCTATCATTGAGCCCTCCGATCCCCTCCTTCCACGGGCTGGAAGGGTCTCTCTCTGGTCGCGGTCTAGAATCCCCGAGTCCTAGCGCCCCTCCACCGTTCGTCCCCACAGTTAGCTGCGTCCGTTCCTTGGTCTTCTCGGGGTTCCGATATACCTCACCACAATCTCCCCAATTGTTCGCGTCGACGTCCTTGCAGCATGCTTGGAGAAGGACCTGAGGACGTCTCTCGTCCTCATGTCCCACCACTGTGGGAAACGGAAAACCGTCCCGTGGACGATACCCCCGACCTCCCTCAGCATGAAGAGACCGGTCTCCCATACTTACCCGTCTGGCTACGGGAGTCATCCAAATCCATTCGCTGGGGATGGGTTCCATTGCCGCTACGCAAAGCAGGCTGGGCGATAGCTGACTGGGTCAAGGGCCCGAAACCTCCGCAATCCCTACTATTGAAGCCGCTGTTTCCTCGCTATCAAGAATTGCCGGTTCGGTTACTCGAGCGCTTCTTTCCCAAACGCAAGCATAAGATCGCATTGCTGGCACTGCTGTATTTTGTCTGGTTTCTGCCCTGGACCATTGTCTTGCTGCATTCGCGACAGGGCGGTTACATCGAAGGCTATGGACGACCGAAGACACTCGCTTGCTCCACGAGTCTATGGCAGTCTGGCAATGACTGTGGCCTCAACGGCAACGACTGTCGCCCCTTCTCTGCATCAACTATGGCCTTCCGGTGTCCTGCAAACTGCCGCGACTCAAAATTGCTCCAGCCGCATACGATCGGCAACCAGACGTACAGCTACCAGGGCCTGGTAGTGGGAGGTCCTCAACCAGAATCCGATGAGCCTGCCGTGTATCGAGCAGATAGTTTCGTGTGTCAGGCAGCCATTCATGCGGGCGTGATCACTAATGCGGTTGGTGGTTGTGGTGTATTGAAGCTGGACGGCGCCGCCCATTCCTTCCATGCGTCAAAGCAACATGGAATTCGCTCGGTTGAATTTCCGTCAACCTTCCCCAAATCGTTCAGCTTTGTCGAGCTGTCCTCAGCACAGGCAACCTGCCCTCAAGATCCTCGCTGGCCATTGCTAGGCATTACCATTGGCGCACTAAGTCTTCTCTGGCTGCTCTGCGTCTCCCCACCTGTTCTGTTCTTCAGCACGTTTGTCATGCTGTTTTGCCAGGTGGGACTGGTTTCTGATCCGCCATCGATCTCTCAGTTTGCCGACCTTTTCTCAACCATGTTCTCGCGACTCTTGCCGGCGTCGTTTGTGGCCTTCGTCCTGTATAAGTATTGCGCACGGCCGCTTCTGACCCCGCTTTCCGAGCCAATGTACCAGCTGACTAAAATGCTCCTCTACCTGCCACCTGCCTTTATTGGTGGTCTGAATAATTACACTTTCGCCAGGCTGATCCCGCTCGAGCGTTTGACTCCTCATGATATCCAGAAGCAGCCCGGAGCCAAGGTTGCACTGGCCCTGGTGATTCCCACGGTGGTCTGCATCATCTTGAGTCAAGCCTGGCAAATTCGCATGGGAGGCTTAATGCCTCGCTACCTCAAGATCTATTGCACTATGGGTCTCATCCTGCTGATCTTACTCCCACTGCCAGGTCTGCGCTTGAGAATCCATCATTACATCCTTGCCATCCTTCTCATGCCGGGAACGGCCCTGCCTACGCGCCCTTCGTTGATCTATCAGGGATTGCTATTGGGTCTCTTCATCAACGGCATCGCTCGCTGGGGATTTGCGTCGATCATAGAAACTCCCGCCGCCTTGGGCGAGCAAGCCCCGGGCCCTGGGGGTTCGCACGGATGGTGGGGCGGGACCTACCCCAATGTCAGTGATTCCTCGGTCTCCGTCTCCCTTCCTGGTCCTGGGTCTCCCGAAATACATCACGGAAATGGAAATATCACTTTCAATCTCTGGGAACGGCAACGTATGGACAAGATGGGCGTAGATGGTATCTCTGTATTGGTGAATGACGTCGAGCGCTGGCGCGGCTATCTGGACGAAGACAAGCGGGGTGAGTTTATATGGCATCGACATGGACACAGAGGGCTGGAACTGCAACATCGACCCACCATCGAGAGTGACCAGCTGGACGTCACTGTGCAGGACGATGATTCTGAGCCGGAAGACCTTTTCTTTCGGTTCGCCTTCCTCAAGGGTGCGGAAGCCGGCAAATACGGTGGAGCCGGGGTTTGGCTACGGGATGGAAGATGGATATCGCCGCCTCCGCCGAAGTCGTAAACATAGATTTGGTGACTTTTCTGAGCCTGCTAAATTGTTGATTCGTTCGTTTGTCTCCTCATCTGGTACGAATAAACGTGGTCCATGCTGCAGATCCAAAAACCAGACCTCTTTACATTCTTACGCTTTGAAACACCTACTATCCAACTTACCTCCTGCGCTTTCATATCACCCAATCTATGGTTGGTGGTAGTGCGCTATAAATGGTTGGTTATGTCGCCGCCTCGCAGTGACTACACTGACCTCCCGCACGTACATGAGCATGATGAAGTACCGGCTTGCAGCAGCTTCTAGTGACTCTCCCAACAAGCCATTGGAGAGCAAAGCATTCGTACTCTTCAGATCCTAACTCCATTTAGCCCATTATTGTCAAGCTAGTTGCGTCTCTTTGGGAAGCAATCTATGGATCGAAACGTCTTGATTACGCAAATCCACGCCGAAAAAGAAAAAAAAAAAAAAAAAAAAAAACACGAAATGAAAAGGAACAGTCCACTCCGGACAAAACATGGTTCCATTATTTTAAGGATGTACCTGTAGAGGCACGTATCCTAATTAGAATTATATAGCTATCCCCTTGCTACTATCTCACATATATCTTCAACTCTCAAAAGCCTCCACGAGAAACTTCTACAGGGGTATAAATCAAGACAAATCCACCCTCGGCCCCGTGAAATTCTTCCTCCCGTCCACAACCCACTGTACCACCGAGACGATGACAATAATGGCAAATGCAACAATGCAGTAATCTAGCAGAACATGTCAGCACTGAGCACGGCCCCAGCCTCCCAGAAAGAAAAAAAAGGGAAAGAAAAAGGAAAAGGGAAAACTTACTCATACTACTCCCCGTAACCGGCCGATCAGGCGGGAATAGGAACAGCACAGTAGTAAGTGCAATATACGATAGCGAGATCTAGTCAACTTAGCACATCTGCCACTATACGAAGATATCTGTTCCTGGACATACAGTATCGATCACCCAGCCAATTGCATTAGGAACTTTCCACTTGCGATCAGGGAGGGTTCTCCGTCCGCGTAAACAATTCACTGCGATTGGCATGGCGTAAGAGAGATCAAGTGCGACGACAGAAGCGGAGACGATTGCGTTGAAGGCACTGCGTTTATCTCAGTATGTGTTTTATATTCTTTCAGGGGTAAAATAATTTTCGGGGAGGGAGGTACCTGCTTGATCCGAGGTAAATGCACCCGAAGATAATCACCACAAAGGCGGTTAAAATTAGTGCGTTCAAGGGAAGACCGAGTCTGGGGTGCACACGCGCGAAGAATTTGGAGGCAGGGAGGCCGCCGTCTCTGTTTTGTGTTAGTCTTCGTGTCCATGAATGTGCTTCGGGGAGCGGGGAGCGAGAAAGGAGGGGTGACGTGCCTGGCGAATGCAAAGATCATTCGGCTGCTCGTTGTCATGACGCTGAGTGTTGCGAATAATAGACAGATGAGAGGGAGCCTGTAGTCCGACTTTAGTGCCGATTATATGAAATAGGGAGTGGAACATACATGAGGAGGCAGATGCCGCCCACCCGGTTGTTGGTGGCATGGATGAGGATTTCTAGTAGAGGCCCTGCGCTGGAATTGACTACTTCGTCCATGTTGCCCGCGACGAACAGGAGGACAATGAGGAATACCGCCCCGGTAAAGGTACCAATTCCGACGCAGACTACCATGATCTTGGGTCCTTTGATTGAGGGGTTGGGGATCTCTGTGTTCGGGTGTTATTGATAGGTTATTTAGGATGCATATCAGAAGTGATACCTTCGATCATATGAGCCACCGCGTCCTAGTTCATGTTAGATTGACATCAGCACTGGTGAGTGGGATACTTACAAATGCGGTCACTCCAAGTCCCCCTTGAAGAAGCTGCGTCTGTTAGCGTCGTGGTAGACTAGTACAAGAGATGTGGCTAACCCCCAGTAACCAAGCCACTCCATCAGGCCCTATCGCTCGTTAGCTTGGCTTGCAATATTCACAGGACCTCTCCTTCAGTAAACTTACAGCCAGTTTGATTGACAAAGTCGCAGAACACAAAGCTATATGCATGGTCAGCATGGTGTGCGGCCAAGACGCTATGACGAGAATACATACTAGGCAGAGTTGTAGTCCGGGGATGCACAAGCCAGCACCGTGATGCAGATCAGAACAAAACCACCGATGGACCAGGTGACTGTTCCGGTTAATAACCCGCTCTGATACATTTCCCGCAGGGTAGCTTACATGCTCCACGGTAGATGATAGGCAAAATTGAATTCATGAAGGCGTTGATGACGAATGCAAGCAGTGTGTATCCCACGTAGATCAGGAACTCTTGCCAGCGCTGCCAAACAAAGTCCTACCAGCATGGTATTAACATCCAGATGATTGTCCAGAGACACTAGTAGTCTTACCGGGTACACGGATGACACAATTCCTGCAATCAATTGGCAGGAGAGAAGGGCATTGGTGGCGACCAGGGCAACCTAGCTGGTCAGCGATGATCAGGCCATTTCTGCGGAGACATACCCATCCGGCCACATTAATCCATCCGGTTACCCAAGATAGGAAAGGAACCCATTTTGGCCAGGATACTGAGAGACGTTAGGGAATACTAACGTGGTAGGGACAATCCTACATACTGACTGCAAATAGACATTAGTATAGCATTGAAAGGTTGCTGCGAGAAAACATACCGGCTACCCAATGATACTGGCCCCCCGCCCTGATACATTATCGTTAGTGACTAAGCTCTTAGCAGACCAAGCTGGTTTGATAGAACTCACGTTGGATATGCGGACAAGAATTCAGCTAGCGACACTGCAATACAGAGGTTGCAGAACCCCGCCGTGACCAAACCTATGAATGGGGGTCAGCAAACCCAAATAGGAAACTAATTCCATTGGCAGCCCACCCCAGACGACACTAGTGCTCCCCCCTGAGGGTAAGCTGAGGGATAAGCTCGCGGATAGAGCCGTCCAAGACTAATCGGCAGATTATCAGCACGTGTGATCGACCCGTGGGCAGTTGGCACTGCAGAGGACACACATTAAGCACCGCAAAGGCCAATCCAAGCATAGACCTAATCTCGGGTCAATAGGGTTTCTTCCATCGGGGCATCCAGGACCAGGCAATCAATAGTACACACAAGGTCGAAAAGTTCCGTTGCAGCTCGGGTTTATGCCCCATTTCGGCCAATTGAACATCATCCTCGGGCCCATCGTGGGCGACTTTCGATTTTTCCATGGCCGAGGGTCAGTCCAAGGGGATTGTTGACGGGAGATTTTGGCGGATGATGGAGTTGAAGTGCGACATGAGGTTACTGGCAGCTTAAATCGCACTGAGAGGGGTAATGTTGGGCTAATAGGAGCTATGGATCAAAGGGGTATGTCCAACCTCATGCGGGGAAGCTTAATCTACCCGCGGCTGGTCAAGCATCGCCCAATCCTCTTTGCGCGGCACTAGTACTGTCAACCAGAAAGGGCAGATCAGGATCTATCCGGAACGGCGGCCCCAGGCACCCATCGGTCCATTTCGAGGTGGGGATGCCTTATCTCCTTATCGCTGCCTTATCAGGCGTTGCTAGCCAATCAGGAGGGAGGACCGCCTCACCCGCCTGGACATTCCTGTCTGGTGCAAAACCACCGGCTTATTCTGCTGCGCGGCTTTCATCCCTTGATGATTGCTGAATGAATCGCCTTCCAGAAGCTTGTCGAGGAATGTCTCACGTGGTACGCCCTCTTGTCTTGGCTGCCCGCCAAGATGCCTGTCCCGATCACAAGGCGCTCCCACCAGCCCTTCACCGATCATCCTTGCCCTTCCGTGCAGACACACTATTGATTTGATGCTTTTGCTTTTGCTTCCTCCCCCTTTGGGTTCACGCCTGATTAACTATTTGAGCTGGCCCTTGTCCGGCTGACCAGCCCACCATGCCAGGTCCTGACAGGCTTGATTTGACCTCCCCCTTATCCTCTCTGGTGTAGCAGTTGCCGTTCTCACCACGGCCAATCTACTTACTACTACCAGTGCATAGCAAGCAAATCAGTCTAATGCAGAACTGAGTGAATATATAACATACTACTATTGCCATCCACTTCCGCTCTTCGTAGACGTCACTCACCTGCCATGCATACGATTCCCATCACCGTTTCTTTATACGCCTTCCTAGCGACGACCTTTCTGTTCTCCTGCTCCGCTTATGTTGCACAGGCACCGCTTAGCGATGACAAGTGCACCGAAACAACGGTGGCCATCTTGTAGGAGCTCCCCACTGATGTTTCATATCGCGCTGGAGCTTAGCGTCTAACGTTAACAGGGGTGGAGGGATGGCCGGCATTGCAGCTGCAGTAGGTGACCCTCAGGCCCCCTACCCTAAACCCCGACCGGCAATGCTCACCAAGACCACTAGCAAGCCTTATCCAACGCATCTATCGACGACTTCATTATCCTCGAATATCGCCATACCTTAGGTGGTCGTGTCTGGCATACCGACTTCGGGAAGGATAAGCAGGGCAAACCATATGTGATTGAGCTAGGAGCCAACTGGGTATGACAACCTACACTCTGTCAAATCAACATCCGCCTCACCACCAAAACAGCTCCAAGGACTCGGCTCTGAAGCCATCGAGAATCCAGTCTGGGCACTAGCCAAAAAGTACAATCTGAAAAACACTTACTCCAACTACAGCTCCATCCGAACATACAACGAGACCGGCTACACTGACTACCGCTATTTACTTGACGACTACGCCCAGGCCTACCACATTGCTGCCCGCAATGCCGGCCGCATCCTGACGCAGAACCTGCAAGACCAAACCGCACGCACTGGGCTCGCCCTCGCTGGCTGGAGACCACGCAAGAATGACATGGCCGCACAAGCCGTGGAATGGTGGAGCTGGGGTATGAACAATTACCGTTAAGAGGGGGAACACCCAACCCTTTTCACACCCATCGGGATAACACCAACCCTATCCCATCTCCCACACCGGACTAATGCATATCCCCTCAATTAGACTGGGAAG